CGTTCGGAAACTACCGTAATCAGTTCAGTTAAATCTAAACCGGGCAACTTTTTCTTTTTCAACCGTAATAAATGTGATATCAATTGACCTGTTATGACTCAAATTTTGGGTGTCCGGCCCCCTCTGCTGCATCGTTGTGGAAAACCTAGAGCGACAGAGATATCTGCGGCTTAAAATCCGGTGCGGCCTATACAAGTACAAAATTGATTTGACTGATTGATAATCAGGTGCGCTCTGAACTACATTCACATGTGGTGATCTTTTAAAAATATGTCTATATCTGGTGCGTTTAATACTTGTCCATAGATTATTAAAATATACAACTCCTTAACAGTTACTTTTGTTTTGTCCAGGCTACAGATGGAGATGAAGCTGGCACAGAAAACAGCAAGATTCAATTCAGCATTAAACCGAGTACACACAGCGGCAGCTTCAGCATTGACCCGAACACCGGTGTGCTAACAAATAGCGGTGAACTGGATCGGGAGGCACTGAATCCAGAATCGAATGGGAGGATAATCCTCACTGTAATAGCCACTGATATGGGAACACCCGCGCTGTCAACCTCTGTCTCGGTTATTATCACTGTGGAGGTAGGTGCTGTAATCGTTTATGTCCAGCCCACTATCAGCAGATAGTTGCACAAAAGTATTCATCCCCCTCAAATTACCACATTTTATCAAGACACACAAACTTAAATGTATGTTACTGGGATTTCATTTGACAGCGAAAGAAAAAGATACAGATTCATCTTTTTATAAACAAAAATTGTGAAAAGTGTGGTCTGCATTTGTATTTAGCTTGCTTTACTAAAATACCTCTAAATGAAATACAGGAAAACAGATTGCTTTAAGAGGTCAATGCTGCAATTAATTTATTTACTGCCCACAAACATACAGTAAATAGATTGCAGGCTAATCTATTTAGATTAGTTTTACGTCTTGTACATAGAAATATTGTCAATTTAATTCAGTCGTACAAACACAAAAATGTGGAAACAGTGCCACACATTTCATAAATGCTTCACATTTATGCACTGGTTTGTGTTAATCTATCCTTACGTTTCCATAAAATACAGCAAAGTTTGTGTATTTTACATGCTAAAAGAGGAATAAGTTCAGTGGGTATGAATAATTATGCAAGACACAGAACATGAACGCTCACGTTTCCTCTCTGATGGACCTCAGGACATCAATGACAACGCCCCAACTTTCAAAGCACCATCCTACAGTTTTTCTGTTAAAGAAGGAGAAAAGGGCAAGTATTACGGCTTAAAAACATTTGCTTCATCCCCACCTACATGGCAGGATTATAACATTAGTATTCATTCAATCAGGCGCATCTGCGGGTTTCGTTCACGCCGAGGATCTGGATCAAACCCCCGAATTCAACCGCATTTCTTTCAGCATCATCGATGGGAGCTTTGGCAGCTTCATTGTTCGAACCTCGGCAGAGGAGAAGGGTTACAGCGGCAACATCATGGTAGACCCGGACATCGAGCTCGATTATGAGTCAGCACCCAAGAAGTTCACGTTGCGGGTGGAAGCTACAGATCTGGAGCTGGAGAAAGCTCAAACAGTGGTGGAGGTGAATGTGCTGGACGTGAACGACGAAAGACCAGAGTTCACGTCAGTCCAAGTCGTTTCTGTGGCCGAGGACGCCGTCACAGACGCGCTTGTCGGGACGTTCGTAGGTCAGGACAAAGACACCAACCATTCGCTGGTCTACGAGCTGGAATCTGTCAATTGCAAGTGCAGTGGCGAACTGGAACCCTGCAGCTGGTTCACCCTCGACCCGAATGGGGATGTCCGAGTTGGTCCAGCAGACCCTCTGGATTATGAAGAATGTGACCAAGCTGTGATAAAGGCTCAGGTGGTGGACTTGTTCACGGAAAAGGGAGAGAACAACAGTGTGACGCCAGGTCAGGACTGAGTTGTTTTTCAATTTGATCTCAGTAGCAGAAAGTTGAAATTATAGTCCAATGTTTATTTCATAAAACCTAAAAAAAAAAAAAAAATCTTTCAAATATTTTCTGCTGGATCTTCTCAGGAGAAATGGTTATCAACATTGGAGACGTAAATGACAACACTCCTGAATTTTATTACTCCAACTCTGTATTTGGTGAGTAACGCTTTGAGAATAAATGATTATAAGTTACTATTTTCAAATGTTAGAAAGTTAGTAAGCATATTTAAATAGCTAGTCTCTAACAAATCACACACAATGAATCAGGAGGAGACAGAATATTAGACCTGATCATTTATGTGGTAAGAAAAATACCACAAGAAATGTCTTTCATATTGCTTTTTAGGGTTTGTTGGTTCCTAGGTGTTTTTTTTTTTTTTTTTCATTACACTCTGATATTAACAACTCGGATGGATTTATATACTTTTGCAAATGTTGCTGTAATTAATTTTATTAAAAAATAAACAACATGTTTAACTAAGTAATACATCACATATTTGGACAAAGATGTATAAAGAGTTTCAGGCATCCAAATGTTGGTCTTTGCTGACGTACATAAGTTGTGTACAAGTCATAGGTTCAAGCTATTTTTTTAATAGTTAATACTTTATAAAACAGATTGTCTCCATCTTTTCTTGCTACTCAGTTGTGGTGTCAGAAAGTGCCAGCAAAGGAACATCAGTTGCAGGAGTCACAGTGAGTAAAGTTGAACAACAAGTCATAGTCAACTTGTTTCTGACAAGTTAGCAATTGTCTCTAGATGCTTAATTGAGCTTCTGCTTCTTGTCCCAGGCTTCAGATCGGGACTCCGGACAGAACAGTGTGATCAAATTTGATGTAAGAAAAGTTCAATTTGAGGACAGGGTCACAAACGCTGTCACCGACACCAGGATCCTGTTTGAGGCCGTCACTACACAACAACAAAATATCTATGTTGGGATTATTCAGTAAGTGCAAAAAAAATAAATAAAATTCTACCAGAGCCTTTTGACTCCAAATCAACATATTAAGTCAGACGTTACTTGTTGATGACTTGGAACTCGTTGTTGTGTGATGTGCTGATTGCTGTACTTGTTTTGTCCTCTTCCATCAGAACTACAGAAGGTCTTGACCTGAAACTGAAAGGGAAATATTTGGTAACGGTGACTGCGACGGACACAGGCAACCTTTCCAACACCACCGTCCTGGAGGTGAGGGACTGGACGTGAATTCACGACTCTCCGAGAAAACATCGTGCAAACACGACACAGGGTTTAAAATGTCTGTGTTTCCACTTGTGTGTTATATTTGTTCTTGTTTTGCAGATTTTCACCATTGACGAGGGCTTCCGAACTGAACTCCAGTTTAGAACTACAGTGAATGAGGTCGAACAGTCACTCGATGAGATCAAAAGGTGAATTTCTTCTGTCCATACATTTTTTTTAAGAAAGCTATGAAAACTGTAATATTATATATTGAAAAAAACCTTTGATGTAATTACTTAATCTCCTTCAGGAAACTCTCTGCAGCCACTGGCGCTTCAGTTGACATCGTTTCAATCAAAGACCAGTCTTCAATATCCAGGTAAATTTTTTTACAGCTAATATTTTAGTAAAAACCAGCAAAAAACAAAACAAAAAAATGCTTTCTTTTCATATACATATCGATCACTAGGTGGTGACAAAGATCCTATTAACGAAGCACATCACAACATGCAATAATAATTTAAGAAACTGAGCTTTCATATTGGATTCATATTGGATGAAATAATGTGATAATATGATTCCCTCCCCCCCCTCTTTTCTCAGGAACGCCGCACAGTCTTTCATGTTGGCATATTTCATCTTTTCAAATGGAACCGCTCTTACTTCTTCAGAAGTAGAAAAGAGGCTTTCTGATCAAGAACATTTTCCTGGGCTGTATGAAGTGGGCCTGGTCAATATTGTAAGTATGTTCAGCTGCAGAGTCTGCTTTCCTAAAAGTGATGCTGCTTTTCCCTGAAGTGATGAGCAACAAGTAAAAAAAAAAAAAAAATGTAAGTGTCAATCGCTACAGATAATGCAGATGAGTTTCCTGAATTTGTTTCAGGGCAGCGTTCCCGTCGCTGAAACAAAAACGAATCCCTTGGTATACGGTCTGCTGGGCATCGTTGGAGGTCTCATCATTGTACTGGTCATACTCACGACCTCGCTTTTGTGCACTCGCAGAAAGTAAGAGAAAGACATTTAGCAGAGTGAATAATTAGCTGTAAAACTTGATATCAATGCAGCTTTTTCGCACCACAGCTTCAGAAGGAAGCTGAAAGCAGCGAATGCCATGAAATCTACAACTATGTTGAACTCTGACAACCAGAAAGGTGGCGCTGTCGTGCCTGGGACCAACAAGTACACCATGGAAGGGTGAGCCCATTAGCAGGATGGAGAAATATATCCAGTTTACCACAAAATATATGGATGGAGTCACTGTACGTACAGTGTTGGGGCCCCATATGGGATTTTCTGGCCTTGAATGAGCCAAGTAAAGAGGGCTTTTTGTGTGGGACCCAATTGAGTTCACTAAATAAAAGCCATATTGGCTAAGAACGTACATTTATTTAAAGAGGGTAGAATTTTTGAGTAGAAACGATATATGTTTAAGATGGTGAAATTTGATTAATTTATCACTTTAATTAATTAGCTGCTAACAGTTTTCTCTTATGTTAATATACACTTTGAAGACAACAGGCAATACTTGCCCATTTACATTTTTATTAAATAAATAACAGTTTTGCAAACAGTTTCTTAACAAATGGATATCGGCACGTATTTAAAGTTCTCAGTCCAGAAACGTCTTCCTTGACTTAATGATTATCCATACCTCTGGTAGACAAAAGTAATCGTTTAAATTTAGCAATTTGTTTACTCTGACTGGAAGGAGCATCAACATTTCGTGGAATCCAGAGATCTGAATTGAATCTGATAGAGAGAGATAAAGAGCTAACGAAAGAAGGCCCTTCAGCCGTGCACTTAGAGCTCATCAGGAAAGATAAATCAGTAAAAAAACATGCAAAAAAATCTGCCCTGCAATTTTCAGCAGGAAATGTTTGATTGGTGTAATATCAAAACACAATTTTCCGTTAACATTTGAGAAGGTTATAAGTACAATTTTGCTATCAGAATGTAAATGAAACTGATACTCCTTTTCCACTGTTGATAATATTTGAGAGACGCCTGTCTCATTTCTTATCAAAAACAAACTTACTGGTTGAAGTTGTCTAAAATTGCCAGTGGAATAAACTATTTTCATTTGCAGTGTGTAAACTAAAATCAGTCAACACCAAATACGCCAGATTAATATGCCAGCTTAGTGTTTGTCACTACTGTGCACAAACCATTTATGACCAAAAGGCGTCTCTGCTCTGTCCTGGTTGCTTCGTTTTGTGTTGGCGCTGTGACTGTGGCTAAAGCTTGATGCAAACTTTCCTCGCTTGCTTCAGTTCAAACCCCATGGCAGCTATTAAACTTCAATGATTATTTCTGGTAGACATTCATCAGAATGTGTCACCCTTACCGTTCTCTGAATCCAATGTGAAAAATGAGGATAAAAGTTGACTGAACAAATATCTTCATTTAAGTTCTTATCAAGATGTTCGGAGAGATTTAAGAAAATGAATAATCTACAGAAGAATGTAGTTACATTTTGAATATTCTTAGCATAAACATTAACAAACTACATTTTTTAAACTTAGGGGGTTAATGTTAATGTTTCTTTAGATCAGATTTGCTACAAAAATATCATGGCTAATATTGTTGAAATGTACAAACTAATATGCTTTGCTGCGAATATGTTAATTGCTACAAATTACTACCAAGCAATTTGACTGTACATAATGTGGTTTATATCTCTTAATTTTTGTCTTTGTTCTGTTTTCCTCTGCTAACCATTACTCTGCTGCAGTGCCAACCCAGTGCTAAACCTGAACATCTCCTCAGCTCTAGCCTTGGACATGGATTTAAATGAGGAAACCTCAGATGCAGAAAAATCCAGGTAAAAAAAAAATAAATTAATACATAAATAAATCAACTCTATCATCAGAATTTGACCTCTAATCTGTGGCAGTTCTGGATTTTAAGCTGGGATGTCCTCCAGGTGAACATATTGTCACTGTGCGCTCCCAGCGGCATGTTTGGACATGATGTTTGGCTTTTTGCTTCCAGCCATACCATGAGACATATATTCAAATTAAAAAAACTAAATTGAACGCTAAAAACATATCCTCCTAACTGCTTTACTGTTTTTTCCCCTAAAGCCTCAGCTCCCTGGATCACAACTATGACACAATCATGGATGGAAATGATTCAGATGATGACAAGGTGAGTTTGCACCTTAAAGTCTATTTTCACTTGGACTCATCAATTGGAATGTAGATTCATTTTCCAATTTGCTTGTTATATTACAGAAGGGGGCCATGTGGGACAAAGATGTCGATGAGTCGTCGGAGTACAATGAGCCTCTGGGTGCAGCGCTCGCCCAGTTGGGTCAGAATAAGAAAAGTAGCACAGCCAAGATCGACCTTGGGATTAACAACCCGATGTTTGACACGACAGATCTGTAACACTAAGTAGAGAAACGGCGATGGACAAAATCACGCAATCCAAATCAAACACAGCTACTGCCTTCAAAAAGGTCTTTGATATGAAAACTGGAACGTAAACTTAAGTAAGCCTGTAAGGAATAATATAAATACACTTGTAAGCAACAGGTTTAACACAGAACTCATGGTTATATTTAAACATTTTTCTCAGTAAAAAAACAAATAAATGGAACAATTAGGATTGGATTTCACTTTGGTTTTTGAATCAGTTCTGCTTTCCAGACATTTCAAACATCAGCTCTGGTGTTGAAAATAAGATCCGCACATAAATGACAAATACGTTCAGCTTCTAGATTGTTTATTTGATAAGGTTGGTTTTTTTTTTTCAGTTTTAAAGATGTAGGTTTCTTTTTCAGAAAACACCAGAGAAAAACAATGAATAAATACATAGGCATTGGCAGTATGTGAAACTCGTGGCATGTAACGATAAAAGCAAAATCTCTTCCAAAAAATGCTAATATTCTGATAAGCAATTTATACAGCAAAGCATGCAAAACATTTTTGTGTTGTTGTTGCACACTGAATCACTTTTAACACACCATGTTAATTTTCCTCGCAGCTGATGCTACAAAATGAATCCAATTGAAAAGCAAGAAAATACAAATAATGCAATGTCTGTGTATGTTTGAAATTGTTATTTATTAGTCAGTGGAAATCTTTCTCTGATTGTCGATGTTTACCTCGAGTTTGACACATTCGCTCACGAAATGCTTTCTGCAAACTTGCTGATGGAAAAAAAAATTTTTTTAATTCTTGCTGACAACTTAATGAATGTATTACATGTGCAATCTGTGAATAAAGATGCTTTATTCATTAGGAATTTCAGTGTGAGAACACCAACACGACACTCATCTCTGAAATAAAACACACTTAGAATCAATTTTCAAAGCAAATTTTACAGCTGAAATACTTTTCATTGTATTTTAACACAGTAATGAGTGATGGCTAAGCATACTCATACTTAAATTAAACTACAAAAGCCTAGGAAATATTATGCACATACATCAATATTAACTATGTACTCTAAATTCTCATAAATGTCATAAAAATCACCTCTGCACTGAACTGACAGGACATAAAAACCGTCCTCCTCACCTCTCTCAGCTTCAGTACTGTGAGCCAGAGGCAGGAAAAGCTTGTTGCCATGGCGTCACTTGTCTGAGGTGCATTAAAAAATATCAATAACTCAAATGACTCACTGGATGACTGAATGGGCTGAGAAGGAAAAAAAAATAATATAAAAAAATAAAAAGAGCAAAGCTAACAATGACACTGATGCATCACACTCATAGTAACTCCATTAAACCCGACAATCTGTTAAAGTGACGTCACAGCAACTTTTACTAAAAGAACGACGACAAAATAAAATAGTATGGCTGCTTCTTGATGCTCCGTGGCTCAGTCCGTAAATGCTTCTTGAGCTTGTTTGTCTCGTGTGAGGGTGTGATTCGTTTCTCACCCCGTCCAACACTAAACTCAAGCTGTGGTAAATCAGAGTATCACAGCCACGCAGATCAGATGGCATTTATTTTCTCCGGCCAGCTGTTGTGATCAGAGCCCGCCTCCTCCGTCATTCGGTAGTGTGAGCTTTAGAGCAGCAGTGCGGCTGCTGCACGTTCTCCATCATCAGCCGGAAGGGGTTTCTCCTGCGCCGGCTCGCTTTCCCATCGTGCTCCCCTTTCTTCCGCCCCCGGCGCTTGCCCGAACCCCCGCAACTCGGCTCTGAAGGCAGTGGGGACGCCGCTGGGTTGAGTGGAGGTGGCGGAGGCATGGTGGACAGCTGTTTCTGTTTCTGTACCTGCTTCTCAAGGTGCTTCTGGATGGCGGAGCCCAGCACGGCCACTTCCACCACGGCACCGTACACCTCCCAGGTCATCCCTTTCTCGTCCCAGCTCACTTCCTGCACTGGCTCCTCGCACTTCTCCTCGTCTTTTTCCTTACAGTTTTTCACATCCTTACTGTCCTCCCCTATGCTTTCTTTCTGGGTTAATTTCTCCACCTCTTTGGGTACTTCCTTCGTATTCTCTACGAGCTGTTCTCTACTTTCCTCCTCCTTCTCCTCCACTATCTTCTCTTCAATGCTCACCTCCTTCTTTATCTCCGGAAAAGTTGTGGCGACTGGAGTTCTCGGGGTCATGGGCGCTGTGGCGACGGAGCGAAACTCTACCTGCTGACCCACCTGCATCTCAGCGTCTTTTGTTTCTGTGCCCACACCTCCACATTTCCCAAAGGAGCTGGGGAAGTTAAAGGCCTGGTCCCCCTCAGGAGGGGTCATGGGACTGGTGGCCACAGACTGACACTGCACCACCTCCAGGCTCACTTGTGTTCGGATGTTGTGGCAGCCGAATGGAGCTGGGGATTCGGGGACTGGAGATTTTGGCACGGATACATCTCTCATGTCCACTCGTGCGCCTTTGTGAGCCACGACCTCTGAATTGTCGGGTTCAGTGCAAACGTTTGTTTTCCCAGGTAGTTTTTGTGGCTGCTTTGGGCTCGATTTTTCCTGAGCAAGATCAGGAGCTACTGTGGAGGCCGTTTCTTTTCTGTCCTCGCTCTTCATATTACTGATGTTTTCTTCACCTTTCTCTGTTTCTTCTGTTTTCACCATGTCAGGCTCCAGGGTCTGAAAATGTGACTCAGCTTCCTCGTCATTGTTGCCATAGTGAGTGACCAAGATTGTAATGTCTTGATCCATGCTCCCCATCCTCTGCTGCGTGCATTGCTGGGTACTGTCCTCAAAGGTCCCCTGCGTTACAGCAGTAGCCAGACCACTGGTGGAACTCCCTACAGATTCATATGAACTCAAGCCCTTGGCACATTTCAAAGATTCGTCGTTTTTTGACACTTCTTCGGTACATTTTGTCGTTGTACAACTCTTCTTTTGGCCAGTCTCCCTTTGCTCCTCCTCCTTTTTTGTTTTCTCCTCCTTTTTCCCCGTCCCTCTTCCAATGAGCACTGGGAAAGCCGTGCTCGATGGTGTCTTTGGTGTCATGGGGGATGTGGCGACGGAGCAGAACTCCACTTGTTGACCCACCTGCAGTTCTGCATCGTGGGTGCCGGCAGCGGACGCAACAGGGTCAACTCCGTGTTTTCCAAAATTGTTTGGGAAGAAGAAGGAATGATCTCCTTCCGGAGGAGTCATGGGGCTGGTGGCAGCCGAGCAGCACTGGACTACTTCAAGGCTCACTTGCGTGCGCATGTGCTGCTGCCCAAAAGGGGCTGGAGAGCGAGGGTCGGAGGGGTCAGGAGTCGATGGCACAGGAACAAAGATGTTCACAACATCTGTTCCGTCTCCTTTGTCAAGAGCCACGTTTTCCCCTTCAGCATCTCCGTTACCCTGGTTGTTAGTAGAGATTGTGGCTTCATTTTGCGTAGCTACAGTTTGCAGGGTCACAGGCATGTCACCAGGCTGTGCACAGTCCTTAACTGGCTCAGAGGCCGACGGCTCAGAGCTTTTGCTATTGACTCCGCAAAACTCTGGATCTTTGGATTTTAGAGTTTTCTCTCTATTCCCAACAGAGCTGGCGTCCATGTGGAGTTTTGACTGACAGTCCTCTGAAGTTGTTGACTCTTGACATGTGCGTAAGGGACGTCCCTCAGCGGCAGCGCTGCTGTCTGAGCCTTCAGAAAGTCCTTCATTATTTGTCTTCTCGCAGGGCTGGCGGTCCTCCCTGAGAGCTCGCTTCTCGTCCTTAAGGCTTCCCATTCTGTCTCTTCGGTAAGGTGGTGAGATAACCTGAGGGGCATAACACGGCATAGACACACTGTTTGTGCAAACTGTAACCAGAGACCAACCCACGCATGAGCGGAGGAGAAAACAATAGCTCCATCTTTATACAAAAACACATTTTCTGCGATACAGAAATTGCCAGGAAATCATTGTTGCTACTTTCTGGAAATGTGGGGGTTATTTTAGCGTAAAAGGTACTTTTGGTAAACTCTTTATTTAAGCTACTAAAATACCATGAATTCCTCTCCCACTGCTTGATTCGATACTAAGCCTTTCAGCTTACGAATACATCAACATACCTCACATTTGAATTCTGTTTTAGTTGTATCTCGTCACAAAACGCTACATACCATGCAGAGGAATCCAAATATGACCAACTAGAAGAAAGAATGAGCAAACGGCTGAAAATGTAGCGCGGAGACCTACCTCAGAAGCAAAGTCCGACCTCTCTGCAACACTTCTTCAGAACTGGGTCAAACATGGCAAAAATCGCAACCCCCTGAGTGAGAGCAACATCTGTCTGTGCATCTCTCCGCCCCCCGAACCCCCCAAAGTCTGATTGATTCTGATTGCACTGGCTACAGGTTTGTCTCTAGAAGAATCTATCTTAGGCAATCCTCGCTCTTTCAGGCAGTGGCTGTCTATGGGAGAGAGAGGAAAAAAAAAAAAAAAAAAAGAAGCTTCACATTTCCAGTTTCCCTGGAAACCAGCGTTGAGCTCTGGTAACCGAGTGGGAATGTAATGACAAAATCTGTGCTCTGCTCTCTAATCATACGTAAATCACTGTAATTAACCGCAGGTTCTCACCGCCACACAATGGCAGACGGCGAGCAGATAGATAAACTTTTGATCTGGGAGAAGTGGCGTTTCGCATTAGGGAAGACATTTGCGACGAGACCCTCGTGTCAAAGGGATTAAGTGTTGAAAGCCAGTGGGACGCAAAAGTGTGTTACATGTGTGTTCAAGTAAAACATTTATCTGTGAATGTGTGCGAGGCCACGTGTGCTTGCAAGCTCTCGATGTGATACGAGAAGATTAATTGCAAAAATTCCAGAAAAAGTCACTCGCATTGGACATTTTGTGTAAGATATACGAGGAATTTTCTTCTGCTTCCAAAATATAATAAGACAGAAGAGAATTTCAGCTTGAAGGAGCCTGGAGGAAGCAGTGAAGAAGAGCCTCCCACACAGCGAACCACTTCTAAAACCAAGGCTTTCATCCTGTTCGCCCTTATCCCTTTATTCCAACACTGCAAGCAGAATCGCTTTTGTAATTCTTATGAAGGTTTTATGTATTATTTTGGATGTATATGTATGTTGGATTAAACCCTCCTCCGTCTTGGTTTTACCATCGCTGTGAGCATGGCAGGAACAGCATGTACTGGCAGAAAGGAGGCTCGCTCTCAATTCGAAGGCCACAACCAATCACACACCGGCCCTGAGTTCTGTTGCCTAGCGACGATGTAGTGCGACGGAGGGAGGTGTGTGGCTGAGCACTAAGGTAGACAAGCTCCGATCGCACTCCCATCAGGAGCGATCGGCCCGCCAAAGGCCAATCTCCTCAGCAATGTGCCGGTAATGATGACCGTGGTGATTCATTGATGAGTGCTTTCAACAGCGCACAGCAGCAGCACCGCCACAGAGCGAGTGCTAATACAGTTAGCTGCGGTGCTAGCTGCACAGTGTGTGTGTGTGTGTGTGTGTGTGTGTGTGTGTGTGAGTGTGTGTGGGGGGGCGGGGGAGCACATTTCATGAACCTTAGGGGAGAAGTTGTTCTCTGTTTATTTGCCAAAAATAAATGCACATTCTCGAATGTGTTATGAAGAGTGAAAATCAATACAAGCAGAAAACTGGAAGAAAACACATTTCGTAAAAGATTCCTTGCTGGAATGTTCGCTCGTGTGTGTGTGTGTGTGAAAAACACTTAAGATTTTCTATCCCACACGCGATTGGTTGTGTTAAGAGTCATCGTTGATGATCAAACGTTCAGCTCGAACTCTTCACTTGGGCTCCATTTTCTGTCCGAACTCCTTGATGGTGTCTGTGGCCTTGTCAGCAGCTTTTCCAATGACCGCCTGAGTCTGCCTGCTGGCTTCTTGTGCAGCTTTAACAAGTCAAAACATATAGGAAGAAAAAAAAAGAAATGAAAACATGAAGAAACATCCTCAGGAGGTTAAATAAGTCATTATAACAAAATAAATAAAGTTAGGCAAAATTTCACTAAACATTTGTTCACGACATAAAACATTCATAGTAGATGTTTTGTCTGCCAGTTTTCCCTCCTGAGCTGTGGATTTCTACAGCTCCTCCAGAGTTAATTTTTCATAATTGGGAAGTGAAGTATATATTCCCTTCACTTCCCAATTATGAGCGACTTTGTTTGAGTCTATATAATCTCAATACAGTACATTGAATTTTGTTGTTGCATTCTCTCAAACTGCACAAAATAAGGGGTAGGAATCATTTTGCAAGGGACAGAATCTAATTCTTAGTGTAAAGAAATCATTTCTCTTATGCTCCAGTTCTAAAAAAGACATTTAACAAACTTTTATTTTACTATCAAGAGACAGACAGTAAATAAATACTGGTTTTATAATAATTCAAGTGACTTTCTATCTGAAGGCTCAAATCGCTTGGTGTGGGAAAGATGCATTTTTTAAATTAACCTATGAAAAAAAAAAAACCTGACTTCTTTAAAGTAACTTGCATATTAAAACTATTCATGGCGAAAGCAATGTGTTACCTGTGCTAACGGTTTCTTTGGAGGAGTCTGCCACCTGCTGTACAGCCTCTTGAGCTGCCTGCACTAGAAACACATCACAAGATCTATTGGAAGTAACACCGAAAATGTGTCCAGCATTTCACATCTAATAAGACACGCTGGTGGATTAGTCCTGTGTGATTGTACCTGCAGTCTCCGTGACCCCCTTTGCAGCCGAGTGGCTCGTTCCTTTCAGGCTCTCGAAGGACTTCTTAAACGAGGCCATGGCTCCCGTCTTTGACTCTGTAGCTTCCACAGATCTGTGTGATCCAAGAGGGACGGGAGGGACTGTTTAAAACAGCCCCCCCCACCGCCCCTTCCACAAAAACACACACCCACCTATTTGAGCCCTAAGCCTGCACGCTTCAGATGGATTAACTGAGATAAAACCTTCCTCCCTCCCAAAAAAAGGCTGGTTCAGACTGGCATCCCAAGAATGACAGCATTCTTGCCATTGGGCTCGAGCCTACTCAGCAGATTTTCCACATCCAGACCAAACCCCCAGACAGCAAAAAAAAAAAAAAACAAGCAACAATGCTGAACAATGAGGCAGACAGTCATTTCAAGCAGAGAAACAATGCAAAGAGTACATTTGTTTTTCAAACTTTTTATTTACAGAGGATTTGTTGTCTGGCTTAACACAGAAACCTTCATAGTGACAAGACCTGCAATTTAAAGCACATATTGATATGACAACCATTATGATTCCAAGACAGAATATATTGACTTTAACTTGTTAAAATTTTTATTGCACACAAACACACACATACACACATACACGCACACACGCACACACACACACACACACACACACACACACAAACATGTACACTCTGTTGGCTTCTAACAGATAGTGTAGTGGAATGATTTCACGAGTAACTATAAAGATACAATGTAAAAAACTCTTACTTCAAAAACAAGCTCATCTCCAAAGAAATCCAAAAGAAGAAAATGAAAAAAAAAGAAAACACAAACAGGCATCATCGACATTTAAGATATTATTGTTCTCATATCTGCTTGCAACAGGTCATATTTACTCATTTATTGTTATTTTTTCCCACTCCCAATGTCTCATTGGAAGTTGATGAACATCTATTGCACATTTCTAGATACAGATACGCACGTGTACAAAGTCACAAGTCCCGGCTCTGGTCTCATTTCATTGGGAGGGAATCAAGGAAATGAGACCGAGAGGACGAATCCTACATTTCAATAAATACCTACACCCAACACATTACATTAATAACATGACATTTACAATATATAATAATATTAAAAGATTTGTCTTGAAGGAAGAACATTTTTCACTGGGAATGCTTGTCATTTTTGTTGGATTTTGTTATTTATTTATTTATTTTTTTTGCAACAGGGATATAATTGTAATAGTTTCAGCATTTGTCCTTTTATTATTAGAAATGTTATTGTGCTGCTGGTTGGATGATGGTTTGGACGTTTGCATTTATGCCTCTGGCTCGTAGTCCTGGCTCTCCTGGTGGAAAAAAAGAAAAAGGAGACGAGTGTGAGAGATAGACGGGTCACATTTGTTGCACATAAAGATTTTAACTGGTGGTATTGCCAAGCTGCTTTTACTGAGAAGAGTGTCTGAGAGAGTACGTAATGTGTGAAAAGAAAAAAAAAAATAAAGCTGGTCAAATTTCAACCAACTTATCTGACGATTCAATGGTAAAACGCATAAAGATCCATTTTATATGATGATAGGAAAGTTAGACTGCATGGAAGTAAAATACAAAAGAACAACTTAAGGATTATATATATATATCAAACTATGTTTGCAAATTAGATGGGATTGTGGAGCCAGTCTAAGTCAAATATATACATACAAATGGTGTATATATTATTATTATATATATGTACACATATAGACTTCAAGTTTGAGTCCATGGTTCTCGACTGAAAAAAGGCACACTGCCCCCTCTAGATTGGAGGTCAGACGCTGTCTGAAGCAGACAGCCATTTCATAGGACGGTCAAGTAGCTGTTGCCTTAAGTTGCTATGAAAATGTGATTTATATCAAGCATGACTTAAACAACAATTTGACTTTGCACCTGACACCATGAAGTTAGCCTCTTTTCTCTTTAAGAAGCCCGTCGTCACAACAGTACTTCTCCACTGTGCCATTTAGGATGAGTTGTAGGAGCGTTTGCATGATAAGCTCAGCAGACTCTCAGCTCCATCAGGTGTTTGGAAATTTCTACCGCCGCTGGTCTAGTGGAGCTGAGTGGGGAAAATACTGACTGAAGTGCCAAGGAGGAGCAAACTTTTCTGGCATCCCCCAATGGCTGCCATGGGGAGATTCAAAGGGTTTCACAAACACGAATGAAAGGATCAAAAACAGCACTCCAGATATGTTTCTGATGAGGGAATAATATTACAACAAGCGCATATAGCACAAGAGACACATAAAGCACAAAAAAGTCGACTTTGTATACTACCCCCTAAGTACCTTGGGGTTTTGTTCACAACTGATGGTGGATGGATGGACGGATTAGGGTTTCATTTGCACAACTGAAACCCCGTGATGAGAAAGGAGCAATACTTTGAGGGGGATCTTAAAATGTAGATGGGGATCTATATTACAGGCTCATTGCCAAGAGTGATGTCACTCTATTGTAACTGAGCTTCAGTGATCCAGCCAACAGAGGGCAGCACAATCCTGCATGAGCATGGTGGGAGAGTTGTGTGCACATTCCCTATTTGCTTGTAATGTACACTGCTCTATTTAGCGCAAAGGAAAAAAACAAACAGAAAATGCACATAAGTTCTGCTGGTTTAAAATTAATGCAACACGAAAAAGATGATGCCTTGAAAAAGTGTTTTAAGGCGACTTTCACTGTGCAGCAGTAAGAATTCACATTTACAACAACACAGGGAGACCCTGACATTACCCACAATGCACGAAGGCACAGAGCGTCATCGCCACACCCATTGAGACAGAGCTCGCACATCACTTGTGTAGCAGAAAATGGGGGAGGGGAAAGAGATGCAGAGGAGTGGGAGAAAGACGAGACAGAGGAGAGCAAGGATGATGCATGCTAATGCCTGCAGGAGCCTGTTCTAGGATTCAATTAGAATTTATTAATATTATTCATATATTAGCCCTAGCAGAAAATAAAATTAAAAAACAGCTGTAAGTAACTGCACTGTAAGGTCTTCAAGTCTTATCTAATTTTCCTTATTCTTTTTTTTTATCTTAACTAAAACTCCCAGAAAATCATGACTTATTTACTTGTAACACTATCCATATAATCTGTGTTGTGGGGTATTTACTACTGAGGCTATTTAAAATCTGCTTTCAAAGCCATTGACTCTGCACAGTTTGTCTTGCCCCTGACAGTCAAATTCCAAAAATAACCATCTGTGTCGGACTCACATCCTGCCTGTATCTATGAACAGAACGACGACGCGCACACACACGCACACACACACACTCTGTTGCTGGTAGGTGGTGGTATAGTCAGTGTACTCCATGTACCCTTTGTGACAAATGGCTGGGAAAGTCTTCCGATATTATTCCTAGAAAAAGAAAAGAAAAAAAAAAAGAACTGCGACCTCAGTGTTTGAGAGGAAGACAAGTGGAGGGCAAATGTGAAGGGCTGTTGAAATACAATCCAGCTTGAATGCAACGCATGTGAATACCGATGCGCCTCCATCTACTGTAAGTGAATGGACTCGTCCCCGCCTGCGACCCAGTGTTTTACATAACACACAAAAAATGCTCTCTGTGGTACAGTCACTGGTTCATGCGAGCACGGTGACGTGTGACTTTCGAAAGAATAGACATGAGGGAGACATTCGTGGCTTATGTTGTGCCGGTTACCTGCTGGGACTCATCATATGCTTCCCCCTCTGGCTCCAGCATCGCCTCTCCTTGGCCCTCCATGGCCTCCTGCCCGTACTCCTCAGGC